GGGGAGAGAACGTAAGTCTCTTCCGACCGCATCGATTGTGGTTTCTACACAGGGTATTAACTAGGATGAGAAGGGATTTTTTTTTGGGGGGGGGTTATTCGCTTGGACCGTGTTTAGGAAGGAGACGCCCACTCCCGCCACCCCCCCTGCCATTGGGGTCCCTTCCAGTGGAGTCCCCTGAATGGGGGGGGGGCGCCTCTCTTTCTCTCCCTGACCGCAGAGGGGTACTTTTCTCTCCCACAGCAACACAGAGCAAACTCCAGGAGGGGCTTCAGAAATGCCCCCCTCCCTCCTGGCTGCACCTCTTCGAGGGAGAAATCGCAGAAGAGTCCCATTTGGGGGGGGGGGGAGAATAGCCTTGGGCAGGAGGATTCCTGCCCTGACAGATAATATTGCCATTCTCTGCCCCATAAACAAGAATTGAAAACCCCCCCCCTTGGCCTGGAGGGGACAGGGCTGCTAGGAAACACTGAAGGCCCCGGTTCTTATTCCGGGCTGTGACTCCAATTACAAATGTGTGGGAATGATTGACATCTGTGCGCTGAACAAAATATAGGATGTTTTACAGGGGATCAGTCTATACTTTCACACAGCTGTACATGAAACAAAAGTAGAATATATTATATGGCTGGGATAGAAACTTAAAAGGCCAACAGGAAAAAACAGACTTTTTAAAAAAAGGGCTTTTTCAATATTTCTCAATGAAAAAATTGGAAAATTTGGGCAGCCACTGGAAAAAAAAAAGGTCTGGTGATATATTTTCTCTTTTAAAATTAAGAAAAATGCTTCTGAAGGGGGAAAAATGATACATTATGAAAGGGCTCAGTGTTTTCAGTATGATGAAGTTGAGGTGAATTTTCCTATTGCAACTCTTGTTACTGTAGAGTTTGCATCCAAGGAGTGCACTTTCTTCTGTTTATGACAGAATTTTTCTACCTTCAACGCTCCCCCTTCCCTCTGAGATAGCAAAAATTAAAGACCCACAGACTACAGTCGCATCGGATGCAGCAGTTTGCAACTGTTTCTAAAGTACATACTGGCCCTTTTTCTTACAGAAAACATATTCATAGCACTAAACCCCATGCATATGTGCCAAACAGACAATGGCAAACCACCCCTGCACATATCTTGCCTTTGAAACCCCACAGGGTGGAGTCGTGAAGAGTCCGCTTTGACTCGGTGGCATATTTACATTACATGTCAACCAAGTCATAAAAGATGCATTCCATTGGGTTAAATTGGTCAAAGAAGTTTAGGGTCAGGAAAGTAAGTATTGCATCTATTTCAGTTTCGGGGGGGGGGGACCTTTTTGTGTGTGTGCGTGCCTTCAAAATTTCAAAAAATGTCACATCTCTGTTCAAGGCTTAATTCTGCGTAAAGTAAGGAAAAGTGTATATAAATACAGATGGTTGTTCTTGGGAACTGGAATATCATAACTCTGATTCTACTCATAACTCTTGATTCTATTCAGAACTCTGATTTTATTCATAGATGGTAGAACTTCCAAACAAAAACACTTTGGGAAAGAGGGTTTATTTCTGAAATTCATTGTATTCCATACTCCTTTCCATTCTCTATGTATTTTGGCTGAGTTTCTAAGCAACCTGTTACATCAAAATTGGAAAATTGAATCTTTCACGGCAAGGTACCCAAGGCTTGGTAGCCAGTCAAGTGTCACAGTTCTTGCCAGAGAAAGGGTGCAGAAAAATGTCCAGTACTTTATTTTTCTGCAGGGTTTTTTTTTGTATTTCTAAAGGCCGATTCTTTTGTAAAATCAATAGCCATGGCTAGATGCCATTGCCAATACAATATTAGGCAAGCCAGGTGTTTACAAAATTGTAATGAATGTTATTGATGAAATTGTCCCCCAAAATTGTGTTAAGTGCACATGTATGTTTTAATAATAATTCAAATTAATTTACAAAATGCGCTTTGGAGCCTGGCACCATTTTATCTGTGCCAACCTGCTGGTCATTCTCCACAGGACGCTTACAGAAGGCCACACAATCATGGCCAGAAACTTCTGCTCTTTCTCACCACCCTTATTTTCTTTTTGACATCTGGCCTGAGGAAGAGTTCTGGCAAACTCCAAGGCCTGCGCTGTTTGGTGTCACTGGGGTGGGTGGTAATAAAAGGTGTCACATGTGGTTTCCATACATGGGTTTTGCAACAGACCAACATGGCTTTCTGTAACCAATGTTACATGTATTTATGTTTGTCTTTTAATTAAAAAAAAACAAACAAACTCAAACTTCTTTAAAAAGCCCGTAAATCCTCTGATTGCCCTGTGCATTCATTGGTTAGGATCCCAGAAGGCGGGAGCAGGAGGGCCTCACAGCTGCTCAGAGAGCCAGGAGGTGACGTTCTCCCGGGGCCAGCAGAGTTCCCTTCGTGTCCTCATGGAGTGAAAGGAGCTCTCAGCTGCCGTCGGCTGGATGTGGAACTGAAAGGGAGGGGGGGGTCTGACATGGCCCTTAAGAGACCCCAAGACACCCCCCCCTTAAGTTCTCACAGCAAATGCAAAACAGGTAGAGAAAGAGGTACTTTTCTCCCTTTCTCACAATACAAGAACTCGTGGACACTCCATGAAACTGCAGAGCGGTCGGGTTAGAACGGATAAAAGGAAGTACTTCTTCACCCAAAGAGTGATTAACGCTTGGAATTCACTGCCACAGGAAGTGGTGGCAGCTACAAGCATGGATGGCTTCAAGAGGGAATTAGATAAGCATATGGAGCAGAGGTCCATCAGTGGCTATTAGCCACAAGGTATAGATAGGGGCTCTGGGGCAAGGGATGCTCTGTCTTCTTGGTGCTTGGGGGGGGGGTCAACAGTGGGAGGGCTTCTAGTGTCCTGGCCCCACTGGTGGACCTCCTGATGGCACCTGGTATTTCTGGCCACTGTGTGACACAGAGTGTTGGACTGGATGGGCCTTTGGCCTGATCCAACATTGGCGTCTCTTATGTTCTTATGGTGATGCCATCTCTGACTCATGGGGAGTGGGGGTCTGAAGGACCATGAGGCAAATTTATGCAATAGAGGGGAGGGGGGGGGGGTCTGAGAGTGAACTGCCAGAGAAGGGGATGAGGACACACCTGAAGCGCTGGCAAGCCCCACCAGCCGAAGGCGATACCCCCCCTTGCTCACTGCAGCAGGGGAGTCCAGGGGCCCACCCAGAGTCGTCGTCTCCCCCCCCCCCCCCCCTCGGCCCCCCGCACTCAGCCCTGCCAAGATGCTGGGGGCTCAGACAAGCCAGGAGAGGAGAGCAGCTGCCTGTGGCGAAATCTTCCTCCAGGGCATGCCCCTCTTCCTCCTGCCTGGCCCCCTCCCCCTCCGGCTTCCTCAAAAGTTGGGAGGGAGCGTCTGAGTGGGTGAGTCTGTCAGATTTCCCTTGCTTGGCCAGGGGGAGATCAGATAGCTAAAAATTCTTTGGCATTTGTGTGCAGAAACTTACTTCGGAGTAGGATGCTTTTGCCCAGCACCGGGATGACTAGAAACAGTGTTTTAATTCAGGTCACTTTCCCCTGGATGGGTGGGGGGAGGGCTCCATCTTTGAACAAACATGGATTTATACTTAATGGGTTTCACTAGTTCAGTCCAAGGCTTTCCGGGGGTGGGTGGGGGGTGTATTCTGTGAAGACAGTCAACATCGGCCATGTCCCCAAACCGAAATGTTTGTGGTTCTGGCTAAAATGTCAAGATTGGTTTTGCCCATTAGCTAATAAACAGATATTTTAAAGATGAATTTACAATGCTTTCTGTTGGACTTTTAAACAGAGGAACTGTTCACAAATAAATGCCAGTTGTTGTAATTTTTGAAGAAAAACATGTAATGTGTGGTTGTGCTAGTGGCCAACATGAAATCAATATGATTCATAGAGTGTATTTTCAAGGTGTTCAGTATGAACGGTGAAGGTCCCATATATGAAAAGTGATCCTGCGCTGCCACCTAGTGGCGGAGGTTGTGTTAGTCATGAAGGATTTTTTATTCCACCCAGCTGGGCTACCATAATACGTTCTCTGTTGGGCTGCCCTTGAAGCCAACAACTGCAGCTGATCCAGAAGGGGGCAAGGCAGTTATTGTCAGGAGCCAGACAGGGAGAAAAATATCTGGCCTTTTTTAGAAGAGCTGCATTGGCTGCTAGTTTGCTTCCGAGTTGGTTTATGACCCTTCAAGCTTTTCGTGGCCCACGTATCTAAAGAAGTCTCCTCCCAAATACCCCCTTGCACCGATTATGCTCCTCAGCCTGCGACCTGCTGGCTGCTCCACCACTAAATGTTGCCTGCTGTTGTGTCCGCTGACCGCCACTGGAGGTCAGCATCCATGCCCTAGCTTCAGTCCTGGACAACAATGGGGACTAGGATCCTAGTCCCTCCACGGGGGAACCAATGGGAGCCATGGCGGGAGATTCAAACATTCAAACCCTCCAATGGTGACCAGGGGTGTGTCCCCAGGTGTGTATATAGTTGGCCTGCCGGCCGTTTGGCCGCATGTCTTGTTGTGTGCCTAATAAAGTGTGCCATGCACCATGTCGTTGTCTGTCGTCCATCCATGCGGCTACCCACTACATAACAGTGGCGATGAGGATGGGATGTAGCCGCATCTGAGCCGGGCCGTCGCGAGGGACCAGGAGGACGCGAAGCAGCCGATCCGATGAGCGCATCGGACAACGAGACCGCTCCTCTTGCACCCCCACCGATGCGCACAATGGCTACCGCTCCGAGGCTAGGGCTGCTTGCGCCCTTCGACATAGCCCACCCGCAGGACTGGTCCTCCTGGGTTCAAGGCGCCAGGT